AACACTTGTTTGCACATGAGCTTGGTGCAGGTGAAATAGCAAGCATATACACTGTTGACACAGTTTTCCCAACCATTCGCATCTTAGTGGCGCAAGTTTATTATCGGATTAGTGTTCTATTGTCTATGACGGAACGCTGGGGGCTGTTGGGGATATTAGGCATCGAATTGTATTCAGCGTGTAGCGTTTCCAGCGTGCTAGAAATAAATGTGTGCTCACGGCGAGCTAGCAGCTGATTTTAGCCGTGTTGCCACAGCCATCGTGTTCCTGATGATAAGGAAGCGAAACAAGTGCTGTTACTGTGCTTACCTAATATCCCCAACAGCCCCCAGTGTCCCGTAGTTACAACCTGGTGCTGCCGCCGCATATCAACATGCTCCGAATACATATGTGAACGTTTGGGAAAACTGTGTGAAACCGTGTCGTATTCAAAGAACTTTTTTTAAGAACACATACGATTTTCAGGTAAATTGGTGGCGTCATATAATTAAGAGAGAATAATCGACGAAAACTAGGTAAAGTTTGAATATATTTATTCACATATTGATAGAATATAAAATCAAAAATAATACCTGCTGAATGTTGTGGCACAGTGAGGAACATATCAGTGCTGCAAACCCACACACCAGGGGGAGCTTTCCCTGCCAACTAAAATGTCAGCGACAGTCTCAGCATCATTGAGACATACTGCAGATACAAATATTCCCTATATGATTAGTCATAGCCGGCATATAGGAACGATCGAGAGGTCTGGACCAGCACTACTATACCTACTGAGATCTTGACAATTGATTACCTTACGTGTGACAGTGTCGAAAAGGCTGTCAATGTTACACAGGAGTCCGCCGTACTTGTCTCCGATGGTCTGAGTTGCCGGTAACGAAGTGAACGCTCTACCACATGGGTCGAATGGAAAGTCCCGGCCCTACAGAACAAACCCACGCATGTTTCACGAGACATTGGGAGCGAGCCGGTCGTTATAGCAACATATTCAGGGCCATAATAAAAATATTGTTTGTTTGCCCTCACCCGACCGACTTACCAAAAAGGGGCCGACTCAAAATTATTTATCTTTTCCATTCTTTTCTTTTTTTATAAATTGTATCACTGTACATTATATAAATATGTAGGCAATACATAATATGTACCAAGAAAAACAAACGTTCAACATAAAAGGTATCTCCACACAAGCACACCCGAGCATGTAGACACCATGCTGAATTTATAAAAAAAGACCACCCCTCAAAAAATAAATAAAAAGCCTACCTACCTACCCAAACTTTTCAGCCTGGGTCGGGTGAGGGCAAACAAATATTTTTTTTAATTGTGGCCTGATTGTGTGCAATGTGCACGATGTAATTAGTTGGAAACATAAGAGTGTTATAACTGACACTGAGAGGGTCTATGTCCCCCAGGGTACTGCCGGAACGTACCCTGGTACTATCTAATATGCTGGACCGTACCTCGCCTACTCCACTAACGAGTCTAGAGAGTCGCCTACGCCTACTCCCTAACCCTAACCCTAACCATATCAGATAGTTACCAGGGTATGTTCCGGCAGTACCCTGGGGGACATAGACCCTATGAGCGTAACTGACGATTATCCACCGTCTCATTATTGCACTTGGAGTAGTCCTGTACATAGGAAGATTGAATATTGGGAGAGAGCGAGTCATGGACCATTAGTGGCATGACACCAACACTAATAACAACAAATAATAGAAAATAATGTAATGCTTCATTCACTATTCTTCTGTTCTAATCTATACTATTCTATTCTATTGTTCTGTATTCTTAAATGATATTTTACCATGTGGAGAATCAGAATAGATGCATTCGTCAATGCGTCACCATTTACAACCTGAAAAAGATACCATTCATTTGAAATGATGAAAAATTGACAGAACTTGTTTTATTTGATGATAACCCAAATGAATTACGTAACTATATAACCATGAATCAGCATACATGTTTTATTTATGTGCATATCTCATTCTTACATTCTAATACAAGCCATCAATTTGAAATCAACTAAGGGATGGCATGAAGTTCGAGTTTGAAAAACTGCTTCAAAAGCTTTTGAATGCATTTCATTACAGCTAAATTTAATTTCCTCACAGTATAGCCTTGTTTTGCACTCAAGTACTCTGCTGCCACCAGCAGTGCATTGAGAGTGGCACCACCACTCCCAACGCGTGCCTTTGGGTCTTCGACGGTGAGGACCAAGGTGTCGGCATCGATGAGGCCCTTCTTTTGACGAACGTTAAGCTCTATTATTTAGAGGAAAACATGACAGATTGTTAAACCAATTATTGAAGATGATGGAGTGAAGACAGAGGTTCAGTATCTTAGATAGTATGTGTACTTGTGAAAGTACTCCCCTCCACAGACACTTGAAGCGTTTCAATAAAATATAATGCTAACTAAATACGAAATCACGGGAAATTATCGAAAGTGACTATTGGCCCGACAGTCGAGTGTATACGAAAGGCCAGCTATTCGCCCAACAGTCTATAAGGATATGAACCAGTCTACGAGAGTTTATCCTCGCGCGAGATCTCGCAATATTGCCATTTTTAGAATTTCCGCGCCACTGCTTCCATTGTTAGGGTTAGGGTTAGGGTTAGGGTTAGGGTTAGGGTTAGGGTTAGGGTTAGGGATATTTCTTGATATCAACAAGACGGTCGGGCGAATAGACAGTAGCAACATACACACCCGACGGTCGGGCGAATAGACAGTAGCAACAAACACACCCGACGGTCGGGCGAATAGACAGTAGCAACATACACACCCGACGGTCGGGCGAATATAGCCTCGGCCGAAATTATCGCGTGTAGCAATGGTGAGAAACAGTCGGAAACGGGCGAGTAGTGTCGCTGAAACGCAGTTTTTTCCACACTTCCTGTAAAGTGATAATGTTTCTCGGTGGAAATAAACAAACAACAGCTTCAAGAACACCCCTGTCTATTTTAAAGGGCCTACTCCTACTTTTACGAAAATGACATAGGTGTCAATCTGGACATCATCTCTATCCTTGAACCCAGACTAGAGGGCTAGACAGAGACATGCAGAGCCTTAGCCCGACCAGGCTGTGCGACGGATTGTCTATACAATGGTATTCTAACCCTAGCAATACCGTTTCTTGGAGCTAACATGCAGAGCCTGTGCCTGTGGCAAATCGAAGGGTAGCTCTAGTACTATCGCCTGCGGCAGCGATCCGCGGGCTATACTATAGCGATACTATAGTACTAGAGGCTTAGTAGAGCTAATCGAAGGGTACCGGTATATGTTCCAGCTAAAGTGATACTTCTGAAGTGATCAGTTACTGTATTTGGTAATAGTGGTAGTATACCATATTCATACGCATGCAGGTTTCGGCTGTGTTGACATGTAAGCGCAATAACACTCCACTTCATTACTGCTCATTAAAGTTCACTACGACTACACAGAGTGCATTGTAATTTGTATATATTTGATTATTTGTATACTTCCCAAAAGGCCAAAACGTCTTTCACTACCGCCATCTAGCGGTCGAGCTAAGAAACATACAGTCAATGTATAACGCGTGCTGGCGCGATGTGTAGAAAAATATTGTGAATATTATGTGAGCGTAGCCGGTCAATCGCGCCGCGGTGCCCTTTTTGTGACTTACTCGATCACTGCCGGATTAACTAACTAGCAAAAGTAGCATATGCTATGTGCCCGCATTTTTAAGGGCCCCGCGCTAAATGCTTGCAAGCTATCAATTCCGATTCAGCACTTATTACGCTCTATTATATACGATAGTAGGCCTACTATAGGTACTGCCTTCAACTTTTATGAACGACTGGGTGTTTAAGGTTAGCGATTTAGCCAATTATCACCTTTAATTAGGGTTATTATTTTAACACGTAATTAATTGGGGTGTGGTATCTATGTGATTCATATACGACGCATAAATACGAAGGTATTTGAAACTGGAAACATAGCCGCTGCACAAACATCAAAACGAAAATGGAAACGCGCCTTAACTAACTCCTCTTCAATTTAAATGCATAATCTTTGCCAAATATTCTTCTTCTCGGGAGATATTGCACATGCGCGACAGCGCGAGCACAGTTTCAGGCGTGCAGTACATACTGAAGAAAGCTTCATAATATAGCATGTTGAGGGAGAGTGGGGGTAAGAGACTGAGGAAATGCGGCAGGTGAGATAGGTGGGGGCGGTAGAATAAAAAGGAGGCTAAGCTAGGGACATGGGGAGGCAAGGGGAAGGACGCGAAGGCATAAAGTGTTTGGTACCCTACCGGCTAGGGCGCTCTCCTAATTATAAATACAGGTCTACCGATAAAAATTTATTAGAGAAATATATGCTGAGATACCCCCTAACCCCTCTGGTGAGATATTGCGCATGCGCTAACACACCAATAGGTAGAAAAAGTAGGTAGAAGAAGAAGGAGGCTGAGTGTACTACGCGTCCCGCCAACCGCTGATCCATCATCTACGGCACGTACCTGGTACCCGTCCCGCACAGTGCTGTGCTGCTGCTGCTGCATGCTGGTGGT